GAGGAGAGGACAAGTGCCTCCTGCTTGGCAGGGCAGCTGAGGACACAGTCCAGACGCCAATACTGCCCTCCTTTGCCTCATCAAGCCCACACAGGCCATGTCTAGGGTGATCGTGACCCTTGCCCAGTGTTAGAACTGTGTGCTGACTCTTATTGTCCACCCATCTAAATGGTGAGTGCCCCATAGCTTTGAGGGGCCCTCACAGCACACAGAGGTGTCCAGTCCCCAGAGCGGGCAGTACAGTCTTGGGTGTGTCTGCTCGTCCAGACAGCCTGGGAAGTGGCATTAAGCCTTGTGTTCTGATGAGCCAAGGAGGCACAGAGAAGCCGATGGATGGGCCTAAGTCATAGTGCCCGGGCAGCCTCTCTGCAGTTGATGGCGTTGCTTGCTCGGTGGGCTCCTTCCACGTGGGCCCTCTGGGCAGCCTGGCACCTCGCCCTTGACTTGGTCCCCCTCTTTCCTGGCTCCAGCCCAGCAGCCCGGAAGACTACTCCACGTCCCTGGCGGACGAGCTGAAGATTGGGGTGACAGAGAAGCTCTTTGCCATGGACACGGAGGTGAAGGATCCGTACAGCACCCAGGTGGGTGGCCAGCGGAAGCTGCAGGCCTTTTCGGCACAGGGACCACGGTTTCTTAGATGAGGGAGGGTGCCAGGAAATGGGGTGTGGCCATGTCTCTGCCCTGCGCTCTACCCAGCTCCAGGCACCCTGCTCACGGTTCTCACCAGCTCAGCTTCATTCCCTCCTCGCTCTGCGATCACTTCCTTAGTGCACACAAAAGCCAGCCTCATGGCAACATCTTTTCTGTGAGGAAGCCTCAATGAAAACCAGAAAACATTCCTGATTCTTAACCAGAGAGGGCACTTCTCCCACACACTAATAAATCCCTCTGAAGACGCTTCGAAATCAGTGTTTCATTGTCAGTGTTGTTTTTGTTTGTTGTTTGTTTTTAATCATTTTATTAGGGGCACATCAACTCTTATCACATTCCACACATACATCAATTGGGTAAAGCACATTTGTGCATTTGTTGCCCTCATCATTCTCGAAACATTTACTCCACTTAAGCCCCTGGCATCAGCTCCTCATTTTCCCCCCTCCCTCATGAACCCTTGATGATTTATAAATTATTATTTTGTCATATCTTACACTGTCCGACGTCAGTGTTGGTTTTTTTAAACCGGTGTCTACCTGGCAAATGGGCATTCCCATGCACCTTTTCAGAAGTGCCTTGATTCTATAGGCCACACATTCTCAAAGCAGATGCAGTAACAGCTGGCGTGGGTGGACGGGTATGTGGTTCACAAAGCCAAGGAAACATAAGCTCCCCATTTCCCTTCACCTGAGTCCCTCATCCACATAACCCCCCGGCCCCCCAGCCCTGGCTCCCCAGGTTGTCATGTTCCCTCTGCCTGACACAAGTCCTTGATTCTCTGCAGAACCTCCCCTCCTCCGCCCTGCCCTTCTCCTCAATCCCCGCAGAACTCCGACAGGGGTGGTACTTAGTGCTCTTTAATTCTCGTCCTTAATACACTACAGCACAGCCTCTCTGGTAGGACAGTGGGCCAAGCATTGGGCTGCTAACCACAAGGTCAGTGGTTCAAACCCGCCAGCCGCTCTCCAGGAAAGAGACGAGGCTGTGTGCTCCTACAGAGAGTGGCCGCCTAGGACTTCCACAGCGGCAGGTCTGGCCTGGCCTGCGGGGTTGCTTGGAGTCAGAAGCAACTGGATGGCCCTAGGTTTGGGGTTCTTTTAGATTGTGGGGCTTTTTTTCTTTTCTTTTTGGGTGTTTTTGTTTATTTTTATAGGTCACCCCCCCCACACACACACACACCCCAAGGTAGAAATGATTTCTGCTTCGACCTGTGGGAATTCCCCCTAGAACCCAGAGCCTGGGGAATAACCTAACCTCCCAAACCCCACTGCTGGTCCGCAGGCACACCCTGGGCATTTACTGTGTGCTTGGTTCTGTGCCTGGAGGGTGAGGTAGAGGAGGGGCCGGCCTTTGCTCCCACGCAGGCCTCAGCTCCGTAGGAGGACCGTGAGAAGGGCCCTCACCACCAGTGGATGCAGGCCGGCCTGGTTGGCTTGCTGGGCTGGGGCAGCGACGGTGGGGTGGGTGCAGTTAGGGGCAGTCAGGGTGGAGCAGCGGAGCCCCAGTGTGGTGAGTGAGTGGCACCTGGCACCCAGTGCCACCGGGTGGCATGGGTAGAGTGTGTAGGGAGGAGCATTTCATGTGCCAGGATCCCATGCCCACTCAGTGGACAAGTCTGAGTTTGGGGACATGTCCCTGGTGAGCTGCCCAGTGGTGCTGTGGATGATGAGGCTGGTGGTTGCCATGTTTAAAGATTGTAGCCAGGAGAATGTGGGGAAGCAGTACCAACCCGGGTTCTCCTCGGAGGGTTCCGGGGGGTGGGGTATTGCAGATGACTCAGTGGCGGCAGCTGCCCTGGTTTGGGTTCAGTTTAGGGAGGAACGGTGGCACCCGAGCCAGGCAGTGACACGGCCGAGCTTAGGATGCGTGGCTGTGGCTATGGCCTGAGGGGCACAAGGGGCAGAGCCGGCCTGTTGGTGAGGTGTCACCGCCATTTGCTTGTTCTCTGCTCACTCAGACCGACTTCAATGAGCTGGACCTGGAGACGCTGGCGCCCTACATCCCCATGGACGGGGAAGACTTCCAGCTCAGCCCTATCTGCCCGGAAGAGCCGCTCCTGCCGGAGAACCCTGCGCCCACTCCCCGACACTGCTTCAGCACCATGACGAGCATCTTCCAGCCCCTGGCCCCCATGGCCACCCACAGCCCCTTCCTCATGGACAAGTACCAGCAGCAAGTGGACAACAAGAAGACAGAGCCGGAGCACCAGCCTGCATCCTCCATCTTCTTCAGCGGCGGGAGCAAGGCGTCCCTTCCGCTGTGTTGTGGCCAGGCCAGCACCCCACTCTCCTCGATGGGGGGCAGGTCGAATACGCAGTGGCCGCCTGACCCACCATTACCCTTCGACCCCACGAAGTGGCCCGTCGGGGATCCGCACCCTGAGTCCCTGGGACCACCACCCCTGGGGACCTCGCCCCATCCCTCCATGATCAAGAAGAGGTGAGTGGCAGAGGGGCTGGGCCAAACTGCGTGGGGTGGACAGGTCCCTAGGGTGGGGTTTCTGCAGAAAGCCTCCCTGCTCCCACCCTTCTCCTTTCATTCCACAGTTGTTGGAACCCCCACATACTCCCACACACATTTAGCTCAGACTTAAAATGCACACCTCAAAATGCACAGGGGCAGAGCTTGCTTTAATCAGGGCCAAGAGAGAGCAAGGGGAAGGGAGTCGAGGGTCTTGAACCCTGAGGTCTCCATGCGGATGGCCCCTCCGAGTGCCTTTCTGGTCCAGTGGTCACCAGCTGGACCACAAGACACAGCGAGGTATCTGAGGGACTGCTTCCACAGTCCTCCCCTGGAGTCCTGGGGAGAAATGGGAAATCATCTGCCTCCGTGTCCCTGCCCTCTGACTGCCCAGAGTCCCCAGCAGTAGCACCCAGGCCCCATCTCCCCCCCTTCCTCCCCACCCCAGCTCCTGCAAGTCTCCAACAGGCTCCGTTCTGACCAGCTGAGAGTGGGTGTAGCTTGGAGTAACTGTGCAGTCATACTGGTTGGCTGATGGAGTCTTGCTCCTCGGTCATGGGTTTTTCTTCCCTGGGTCCTTGCCCTTTTTAAGAGAGGCCCAACTGGTCTTCAAGTCTCATTATGAACAGCAGAATGAGGGAAGGGGGAGTGGAGTTCAGGGCACTGAAGAGTAGGGGCAGAAGAGCCTCCCCCCCTCCCACTGCAGACTGCAAGCCCCTCACCCATCAGCCACCAGTGGGGCCAAGGCTGAAGGCTGGCTGTGATGGTTGGGATGGAGAGAAATTGTTCAGCACCTGAGCTGGGGGAGGCTCAGAGGTCGAACCACAGGCCACAGGCCCACCCCGACTCCTGGGAGATTCTGTGGTCTCTGAGGCAGCCGGGTCATCAGTCCTGGGCAGGACCCTCTGGATCTGAGGAAGGCAAGGCTGGTGCAATGTCCGGACGCCCTCACAGCCATCTTCTCTTGGTCTCGGCAGGTCTGCCAAGGGGCATGGCCCTTGGGGCCCGGACGTGCTGAGCCCAGCCGTGGTCGCCCTCTCCAACAAGCTGAAGCTGAAGCGGCAGCTGGAGTATGAGGAGCAGGCCTTCCAAGACATGAGCCGGGTGAGCCCCTCCCGGCTGGCACCGCTATGGTTTCCCAGGGGGGCCGACTGAGAACAGAGCCTGTGGCACACTCTGACGGTGGCTCTGGGCCCCTCAATGTGGCTGCCAGGGCAGCAGGGAGGGCGGGGTGGGGTCTTTTCCAAGGAGCTTGCAGCCAGTGAGGCAGAGCTGCTCTGGGCCCCCACCCTCTGCTCAGCACGAGACCCAGCTCTCTGGCCCCTCCCAGTTACATGTCCCCTGCCCACACGCAGGGGGACCCACCGGATAGCAGCGTTTCACATTTGATGTGGAAGCGGATGAAGAGCCTCCGGGGTGGGAACTGCCCCTTGATGCCAGATAAGCTGCTGAGAGCCAGCGTCCCTAATGGTGAGTAGCAGGGCATGGGCCTGGACCTCCCGAGGAGACAGGGGGGGGAGCGGGAGATGGGGTACACTGGCCCGTCCCACTGCTGCCCCTCCCTCCTGGGTGTCTCCGACCTCCGTGCGCGCTGTGCGGTCTCCCTGTATCAGAGAGGGCCGGTGTTCTCTGCCCACCTCCCACAAGCCCTGCTGCCCCTTTTCTGGTGTGGAGAATGCCATCAGGGGTCCCTGGGTGCCAAGGCCCCAGGGCCTGGCTCTAGTTCTGATGGTGCGAGGAAGAGGGGTCCTGGGGGCTCCCAGCCCGCCCCTCCCTTCACCCTCCCACTTTGGTCTTCTAGATGAGTTTGCCCAAAACACCGTGAGAGGCATGAGCCAGCCCCTGAGACACCTGCCGCCACCACAGCCACCGTCGACCCTGAGCCCCCAGGAGAATGCCAAAAGCGGGTACCCCCCACAGTGCTACGCCGCCTCCTACCAGGGCTACAGCCTGCCACCACCGTCAGCCCACAAGGTGTCAGGTGCGTGTGGGCAGGGCCGGAGCCCCGTGCCAGCGTCTGATCCATGGGGGAGGCCTGAGGGCAGGGGGCTGGGAAGGCCAGTCACCTCAGCCTAGCTGGAGTTTGTACCATGGCTGAAACAAAGAAAAGCTGCTCAGACTCTTAGACCCCGTCCGAAAGACCAAACTCACTGCCCTTGAGTTGAAGCCGACTCACAGCGACCCTAGGGGACAGGGTAGAACTGCCCTGTGGGTTTTCCAGACTGTAGTCGGCCCCCCACCCCACCCC